GCGCATAATAGGCAGTTGTGAGTTTTCTAGATTCCCAGAACTAATTCTGAAGTTTGGATAGGTAGCTGTCTTTGAACTAATTAAATCTTTATAACAAAGGAAAACGCTGAAAAAATCCACGAAAAATTAATCAGGGATTGCGTATTGAAGAAGGCCTATCTACTCGTACATGTTCACAAACAGCTCCCGTACATCTCCCAGTACAGCTAAGTAAAGGTGCAGTGAAAACCGTTAACAGTTCGATATTGGACCATCTGGTGCAAAGCGGCCAGCCACAAAGCCAGCCAGCAGTGAAGAATCCTAATCTATCGTCATCTACTGGGTGCCTAATAAACTGCCAAAAACATCCAGATACCGCATGCTCCAAACAGCAGAGGCTATTACAATTCGCCTCAAACAACCAGTGCTCTATGTGCAAAAGAAACAAGTTCAACCAGCCAGTACTACTGCCCAGGCTGGCCTTCAATAGAAACTATAAGCTCATGAATTTATAATATTATCTTTCCTCATTTTTCTGACATTTAGTTTATTTTGTGTTGATGCTATTCAGCTGTAATCTATCAATATTATTGATTCGATATTATTTAAACAGCATTAATGTTGTTCATGACACTAATTCATTCATTCACTATAATGTATATATAATTGTAGAACCTGATGATGAATTTATCGAAAAGAGTACTCTTTGTTTAGTATTCATTCTTCTGAAAATGCAATATCATCAAAACACCACCTAATTCTCCACGGAATGTCTGAATGAAGGTACTAGGTGGAGTGAAATACATTTCACTGAAAAAAGTCAGTCAATATCCATACACATGCATGCAGAATGCATAAAAGCATTTCAAACGTTAAACTTAATAGTAGCATGCACAATTTCATAAGCAAAACATGCCACATATCTATCTATCTGTATGGCAAAGTTCATTCGCGATATGTATGCTGAGCATTCCTTGAAATCGTCTAACATCAAGTAATAAAAAACACATACGTGGAAGAACGACTATAACGTGTACTGCACTCAGATTCATTTGCTCCTCCTCCTCCTGGTGGTGGCGGTGGTGGTGGGCATATAGTTACAAGAGGCCTAATAGATTTTTTAAAAACATTGATTAACAAAAACATTGATTCAATGAAACAAGAAATAAATCGATGATGAATAAATGTTGGCCGACAAAACTGTCCAATTAAACCCGAAAATTGCAGTTGCTTGATTGGACACTAATTAACTGGTTAAACATGTGTCTAGTCGCTTTGTTCGGTGCAGACTGATCCAATCAAAGTATCCAAAACAATCCCACCATACAGAAGGTCGATCGCCAGTCTGAATAGCTTAGTGGTAACGTACGTCTCTCTGACCTGAGTGAGTTCGAATCTCAGAAGGGACATGGGTTCCTTCAAGGTTGTAGATAGATACGTCTTGATGACTGGTGAGTGCCGAAATGCATGAAACCTAGGCCCAGACAGGACTTCCTGTCGACTGGCACCAACCATCTCAAATTAACAATTCACATTGCAGTGCATCATGATGGCAAGCCACCACCACCCAGTGGCATGATGACCATATTGCAAAGTCGACTGATAGAATTCAGTCTGCATGTATTTCGACGCATAATTTAAAGAGTAAGAAAGTTCCTGTCTCAGGAGAAAGTAATAAGCATTAAAAAATTACTTTCTGTGGAACAATTGGACATGTTTCGGAAACGATTCATTTTCTTTGCGCCCCAACTGGAGCACAAAGCTTCAAGATTTGAAGTTCCAGTGGTGGTTGACTACTGGTTGGTAAACTAGGCGGGGTTTCGGAGGGGTTGGCCGGCCAAGAACGAATCCTTACCACCCCTACCTCCATGTGACTGACTAGTGAGCTACCGATGCAAACTGGCAGCAGTTTCAATTACTAAACTCTGAGATAAACCATTATGTGGTAACTTCAATAATAACAATAACTGGTACACATAAACAACAGGAATGAAACTAGCCAGATAGGCAGAGTACAGCATATACCTGATAGTGCAGTGATTGCCAAGGTAATGTAACGATCAGTTTAAAAAAAATACTAACTAATGAAGATCATATCCACCCAAATCGAAATAGTTCTCATACACAGCAGTCGGATATCAACCAATCCGATTAAAGGTTTGAAATTCACTACTATATGCTCCCACGCAAATACATATATCTCATTGTCAACAGCGTGAACTTGTGTGCAGTCATTGAATTCATCGAAATTTTCAATGGAGATGTGACTCGATGACTTAAGCACTCCACTTTGAGTCAATGCGTCTCAGGTTCGCATTCCAATTCGCGCAGAATACACGCAATCGATAACTGGAAACTTCATGAGGTGTCCTGACTCTAAATATCATGGATTACGGTAGGAGTATAGGGAAGAAATCAACCTTCATGTGTTGGTTTGTAGGGATTTGATTGGTTACAAGATTTCATCATGAGCTGACATTGGTTAGAGAACCGTTGGAAAAACACCTGGGAGTACTGGACAGCTGTTTCGTTCTAGTTTGGGACTCTTCAGTGATACGCACCCATCAACAGGGTTCGAAAACAGGATCTTCTCGTTACAAGGCGAGCTAGCTCATAGACCATAAAGCTACTGGGACCCGATTTAATGGCCAATGAATTCTAACTTCTGCCAATTCACGACGACATATCGCGACCATTAGCGAATGTCTTCGGCGAGTATTTGTCCTCACACCCGACCTGATGCACCTTACTGATCACGACTTCTCACTAGAACCCCAGGTAACTACCTACTTGAATAGACGTGACCAGTAGGGTGCAGCAGGTCCAGAAGGTACTGAGTTCGAACCTCGGTGGGTGCGTACTGATGAAGAGTCTTAAGCTGGGACGAAACATATGTCTAGTACACCTAGGTTTTCCAATGGTTCTCTAACCAATGTCAGCTCATGATGAAATCATGTAAAAAATCAACCTGTTAGTTGCAACACTATTTAAGAGGTTATTCATGAACGACCAGAGAGAGGTCAACCATCGGGCATTCCCACTCTTAAAAGGAGGAGTTTAAAAAATTTGATGATACACTCACTTACTGGAATAAGCAACAGAAGTGCAACCATATACTGATTATTTAGAACTTTTCCATTGTTTAACGACTTCTGTACACATAAAACGCGTTGATGAACTATACTTTCTATTCTGATATCGATTTAATATCGATTAGGAGCTGATGTAAGCAGTAATACAGATTTCTGTGTGCAACCAACACCACCACACTAGTTACCCATAACAAACCTTTTTTAAGTACCAGTCTAAAATCCACATATACTACTGACTGAGGGCTGATTATACAACTCACTTGTCTAATCTGACACAGAACTCGAATCTGGAATCCAGTAACCGAGTACTTAATTAAGGCCAATGAGCCAACCAACATCTACCACCAACTTGTGCGTTCTGTAGGTCAACTAGTCATCAATCAGACCAATCAAGTCATATAAACCAAAGAAACTCTTATATGCATCATAGTGATATATAACAATGCTTATAAAGCGGTTTGTGGTCACCGGAAAGGTAACTATCTTCGTAACTTCATTATGGATAAGATTTTATTTTGATAAATCACACAGTGTTTGCTATACAGTAATATTTACTGATGACCACCTTTCGAGCACAATTTACTGCTACTCATAATCGTATCAAGGCACTACTCACACTACTTTCTTGCTTCATTTATATACATGAGTAAAAATTGATGATTAGACATTTGAATAAAAATCAATACGGGATAATGTACATTCAGAAATAATAATATGAGTATTATCAATCAAATACAATCAGATGGGAAATAAGAAGAGTGCTTTTATAGTAAAATAAATAAGTAACTTGTTAGAATGTTATGATGTATGTGAATTGAAATAGAATTTCAAGATTATTTATTATCCTCCTCTGATTTGACTGACTGGTGGTAATAATATCTTCCATGCATATCTCTGGTATTTGCATTGAGTCATTTCTGTTGCATGTGTTGTGTTGTGTGTAGACTCGATGAACTAGACAGGATTCAGTAATCAATCTCCCTCTCCACCTACCTATATTACTTCTTAGAATTTTAATCCTCTCCCAATCTATTGTGTGATTGTGTGTTAATGCATGCAGTGCAACTGCTGAGCTTTTTTTTCTAAATTACTTATCTTCTCAGGTAGGGTCAACCATTCTTACCTTAGTTGAAATTCTTATGTTCCGACAATCTGATTACCCCCGATCTATTAGTTTTACCTATATAGTTGACCTCAAAGTCATTGGAAGGTATTTTGTAAATTATATTAATTTGTTGAATTGGGTCCACCGGGTCTCTTTTAGCCTACAGAGCTTGTCCTACCTGAGTGAGTTTGTAGATATTCATTTAGCAATTAAAACTAAATATTTTCTATCTCTCAGATACACAACAGGATGACATCAACATTTATGGTTTGAGGAAACAGGGAAGATGATGAATCAACGACCAGAACAACTCTATCGACACACTTACAATATCACAAATTTTATGTTTATGAATAACTGTGATAACGAACAATACTCGACAGATTGTATGAAGACGACATTTCAAGAAAATTGAGTGAACTAACATAAAAAAGTGATTAAAAAAATAATAATCAGGAAATAATTTGAAAACTAAAGCAAAGTGTAATAATGATTCATGGGAAGAATATCCACTCTTCACACTTAACACAGTGCGTCGGTGGCACAGCGGTAGTGTTCGGGGGTCGATCCCCGGCCACTGACGCATTCGTTCCCCCCGCTAAGCCATTAATAAGACTGGTAAAGAGGGAAGGTTGGGGGGCATGAAGTGGCTAGCAACCCCATCCTGTGAAAATAATCACCACTGCTACAGAAACTTCAAGCCTCTAGCTTGAAGAAGCCCTATGTTCCACTGGGAACGTAAAGGAATAAAAGAAACACAATAGAAAACTCGAACTGCATCATTAAAAGAAGCAAACAGGTGGGGGTGTGGGTGGGGAACTTACAGACTGTGTTTCTTCGATCGACAAAATTCCTCTCCATTATGCAATAACGTATTCAACAGTGGTGGGAACTTTCTACTTTGTGGCTTTACAACATCATCGGCGAGTTGAAGAGAATTCTCCAGAATGGTATTTGGTGAATTATTATTATTATTATTGTTATGAGTAGCATTCAATGAATTGATCACTTGATAATATTCTTTGGTGTAAATCAATGTGAGGAAGAAAAAAAAGAAAATAATGAAGAATGATAATAATGATAACACTATTTACAGAACGTGAAAAAAATAGTAAGTTATGTTTTTCTAACTCCTATACTTCATTGACTGCTAACAAAAAAAGGTATTTAAGCCGTTTGACAGATGATATAAGTAGAACTGGATCAAGTTTTTACCCTAAGAATAAACAGATTTGTCTGTGCCTACCGTGAATAGAATTTGGGATACCCTATCAACGTTGACAGAGAACCGAACGCAATGAAGACGTGCGGCTGTCTGTCTGTCTGTTTTCGACATAGAACTTTGCACATATGTGCAGCAGTTCAAGTCGCCACACTCCCTCCATGTAGCACACAAAGCAAGAGAAGAAAGTAGGAGAAATGCATGATATAGACAGACAGTAAACAGAGGTGTGAGACAAAGGAATAGTAATAACGAAGAACAAAATAGTTTAATTGGAAATCATAAGTCACAAGGAGTGGATGCATCTGCGCCACTGAGAACGATTTTGAGCCATGTCACCAATTGTTTCCAACCATTGGTTTTCACCGTCCCGAGGACCCCACCCAGTCAGGAAGTCTACATCTTCCTACGTGGCTTAGACTAACTGTTGTGGATTTCATTGACTGGTGCCATGTTTTCGTTTGACCACCACTAGTTCTTTTCCAGTCTGACCCTATATCAGCTAACATTGCCCATTGTCGAGGAAGGCGATGACTAGGAATGCATACGTAACACATGTCCTAACCATCTCAGTCGATGTAATTTCACAGTCTCGTCGACTGATTTCCCCTCCTTATCTAGCACTCGACGCCTAACCTCAATATTGCTCACCTTATTATACCACTTCACGCGGGAGATAGAACGCAGACACCTATGATCAAAGACAGCTAGTCTTTTCATATCTTCCGCTCTCAATGGCCAGGTCTCACAGCCATAAAGGAGGACAGAGCGGACTGCTGAGCAGTACACACGCCCTTTGGTCGATAGTCGGATATCACGTCTACTAAGCCAGAGACGGCGTAAACTGGCATATGCGAAACTAGCCCTCGACGTGCGGCTGAAGCCCTATGTCCCTCTAGGAATTAAAGGAAAGAATAATAATCAACGACCTGATACAGCGGAGGATAGGTAGACTTCGATCTTTCTCTCGAAATATCCTCATGTGGCGTTCATAGCTTCTGGCTCGGTAAGTCGAATTCATTGCCTTCACACACCGCCAGCGTGTTCCTCGCAAAAGTAAAAGGGTGAATGTGAACACGTCTGGTGTGCTTACAACCAGACTGGTGGACATTCATCATCTACATAGAGCAGCTGGAAAATCCTGATTCCAAGCCTACGGATGTGCATAGGCTCCAGGATCTGAACGGATTGAATGATGTATCGGCCTATTTTAGTCACCGTCAACTATGGGAACATAGCTGTTGATGCTGCTCCGCAAACTTGTGGATAAGACTTCAAGTCAAAGGCAACTCTTAAAAACGACCGTCTGCTTCGGTCTGGGCCTCCAGACGGTATGTCAAGCCTGCTACAAACTTTGAGATTTTGTGTGGTGCATCCCCTGGTGCCCATAATATCCAAAGTTTGTGTTGTAATAATAATAATAATAATAATAATAACTGCTTAGACGAGATGCAGCTTTATTGGCTTAAATAATCGACTTTCAATTTGTAGGTCCAGGACTCGTTTACCCCATATTTGCTTCAGCTTCAGCCTGGGTAACTGTGTTGTATGAACAACCCTCACATAATAAAATAATATGATCTATACTTAGACTAATACGTAAAAGACCACTTCCGGGTAATTAAGCTCAAACACACACACTGGTTGAAGATTGACAGTCTAATTATTAGGTATGACAGTAATATGTACGGTGATACTGCAATGAACAATGGACGAATTCACATTTTAAACACTGTAATTTACCAGTGATGATGAATTCAATATCATACATTAGCAGTTCGTTCGAAATGGGCAGACTAAGTTGGCACCGAGAAGTGAATTAAACAGGGTACACTGCTGATAAGTACAATCCCGAACTGAGGAGTATCATCTGCTGCTACACAAGAAATATATGTGGTACATGACGAATGATCTGAACTCGGAAATCAAATTCAAAGTGTCAGAAACATAGTGTATAGATTTGTCGTTGACCTATGAACTTAGTTTCCCATGCTTGGGAACACCTAACAAGGTGGCTAAGCAACGGCGTAGTAAAAGCTATAAACAGTCCCATATTAGAATACCTGATACAACAGACAGACGGACTGACTGACTGGTTTCAACATAGAACTTTGCACAGATGTGCAGCACTTCGAGTTGCCACTCTCCATCCATGTAGCACACAAAGCAAAAGAAGAGAGTAAAGATAGATTCAACAAAAGAGATAATAAACACAAGTGTGAGTGAGGGAAAAGAATAGCAACATGGATGAACAATAGAGTTTTATTGGATATGATAAATCACAAAGAGTGAATGCATCTGCACCAACCATTGACAACGACTTTCAGCCATATCATCAATTATCTCGTCATCATTGGTTCTTACCATCCTGAGGACCCCAACCTCCTCCCTACGTGACTGGCTAGCTAGCTTAAACTAACTGTTATGGATTTCATTGACTGATGAAGTCATGTTTTGATTCGACCACCACTGGCTAACTCTTTTCCAACCTGATCCATCATATGTTAGCTAACGTTGCTCGTTATCGAGGAAGGCGATGACTAGGCAGGCATGCGCCACACATGTCCTAACTGTCTCAATTGGTGTAACTTCACAACCTCGTCGATTGATTCTCCCTCCGTACCTATCACACGACCGAAGCCTCACCTCAATATTAATCACCCTATTATACCACCTCCTAACAAGGCAGACAGAACGCAGACACTATACACCTAGCTAGCCTTTTCATATCTTCCACTTTCAATGGCTATGTCTCGCTCACAGCCATAAAGGAGGACGGAGCGAACTGCTGAGCAGTACACACGCTCTTTGGTCAACAGCTGGATATCATATCTACGCCAGAGATGGCGTAAGTTGGCGGGCATATGTCAAACGAGCCTTCAGTATCCGTGTTGAGATTTCGTCAGCCATCAACCCGTTGGAGCTGACGCAACGCAACAAGACAGGCCATAAAAGCAGTATTGAAAAGTGTTTTTTCCTATTATCTTTTGGGTAGAAGGTGCAAGTCCAGCCACTAGTGCTATCCTAATCAGCTGTGGAATCTATACATTAATAAATACTGTATTGTGTGTATGTGTGTTACACCTTTGAGTATGACTTTCCGTCCTGAACTTATCAATCCCTCTACTCCTTATTATTACACCTTGTATGAACAAACCTTTTGTTTATCCTTAGAAATTCATTTACACACTCACACGCATCCTACCTCATTTTCGCTTCTCTTGTTTTTGATATTATCATTCATCCATATGAAGTTTATAATCAATATGAATAGAATACAGTGTGAACATTAATCATGCGCATTCATCACTACTATATATATTTGTTGTTGGTACTCATAATCATTTACTTTGGAAAACTGGTGTTCATCAATTCAGTGTGAACATTTATGCATATTATCGTATATACACGAATGTTTTGAACTATAATCCTATTAACAATCCTATTCACAAATACAACTCTAAGAATTTTGAATGTTAATGATACGAAGTTATCTTTAAAAAAACATTCATGTTATTAGTTGGAGGATTTCATCATGAGCTGACATCAGTTACATTGGGAGAACAGAAAGAAGAGCATATCTACGATTTTCTGAACATGTACCAAAAAGCTTACGTCTAAAGGGAAAAAATGCTTTAGGCAGTGCCATCGCCAGGCATCTTCTTGACACGGGTCATGAGGTGGACGTCGAAAAGTCGTTCAAAATTATCAATAAGCAAAAGAGCTCAATTCTCCTTAAGTTTGCTGAAGCCATTTCCATCAAGCGCCTAAAACCTGACTTGTGCGTTCAGAAAGAAGCGGTTATCAGTCTTTCTTTGCGCTGCCTGGTAACTGGATATTTTCGTCCGAATGCGAGATACTGAAAGTTTCTTGTGTAGTATTATTGTTCGGAATAGTGTTTAATATTGCATATATATATATATATATATATATATATATATATATATATATAACAACAGAAGACAAGGGCCAAGCAACAGATCAGTTTTATTACGAAAACCAACAGGTATTTATATGTATTTTACGTACATTAATAGGCTTCTGCCCGCAGAAAGAAGGCGGTCTTCTGATTGGTTGTTTGCAAACAAAGGCAGTCTTCTTCTGCTTTCTCGTTTTCGATATTTCTCGGAAATGCGAGCCACTTGTCTGCGAATCATATTTGCCCACGTCTAGGTCAGCTGTGATCGGTTGTTGAATCAGCCTAGATTAATTTCTACCAATCAGCGTAGATCAATGTCTACCAATCGGCTAGCAGCTTGCTCTCACCACATATATATATATATAATTAGTGTATGCGTATATTGATCGGTTGATTTTTTGTTCAAATGAACTCTGTGAATATGTTGAATTCTGTAGGTATACTTAATAATGTCTTTGCCATGTAAGCAGCTGACGAGAAGGCGACGAAATAAAGGATGGTACCATTTTATTCTGCTAAAACTGTAGTTGTTGCTTTGTTCAAGTTAGAGAACCATTGGAAAACCTACAGGGAGTACTGGACAGCTGTTTCGTCAACCTAGTTTGGAACTCTTCATCGATACGCACCCAAACTGCTGGGTCCGAATCCTAGAACCTTCTGGTTACAAGGCTAGCGAGTTCGTACACCATTAAGCCACCGGAATGCGATCCAACGGCCCATGAATTCTACCTTCTGCGCGAACACTTAGCAATGTCTTCTACTTCAATGAGTTACTGCCCCACCTTCAACCTGCTGTACCGTAATGGTCACGGCCTCCTACTAGAACCCCAGGTAACTGCCTGAATAGGGTCAGTCGCTAGTGAGCATCAGATGAAGAGTCCCAAACAAGGCTGACGAAACACTTGGTTGTTCAGTACGCCATGTTGGCTTTTCCAATAGTTCTCTAACTGATGTCAGCTCATGATGAAAGACTCCAATCAATCAGACAACAAAAAATTCTCTACAAAAACAATACTTGAGAATTCATGTTATTAATAATAACAATAATTCTTCCACTATTACGGATACATAACCATAGAATTTGATGAAGAGTAGAGACTATAAACTCATGAATTTGTACCACTACCTTTCCTAAATCTTCTGACATTCAGTTTATTTTATGTTGATGCTGTTCAGCTGTAATTTATCAATATTATTGATTCGATGTTATTCAAACATTAATGTTGTTCATAAGACTAATTCATTCATTCATTCATTATAATGTATATATAACTGTAGAACCTGATGATGAATTTATCGAAAAGAGTTCTCTTTGTTCCGTGTCTATTCTTTTGAAAATTATAGAAAAGGTGAATATTCTTCGTTCACCAAATTCTTCAGTCTTTTTAAATTTCTAATGAGCATCTATAATCAACATAGTATGTATAAGATTTACTTCACGCTTTACTGCTAGTGTGATCATTGACGTTATCCTCAACAGGTTCAGGTAGGAATTTTGTGAATAAATATCAAACCGAATTAGATTTAAGAGCAATCATTAACTCATCGTCAGTGGTACAGCGGTGGAATACTCAACGCGTACGCCGAAAGTCATCTGAGGTTCGAGCCCCAGTCGCCTCCCTTTTGCATCAGCCCCAGAAGGTTGATCGCTAACGAAATCTCAGAATGGATACAGAAGGTTCGTTTGACATTTGCCAACTTACTCCAATCTCTGGCTTAGTAGACGTGATATCCAGCTGCTGCTGAGCAGTTCGCTCGGTCCTCTTTTATAGCTGAGAGACATAGCTATTGAAAGCAGGAGACATGAAAAGGATAGCAAGCTGTCTTTGATCATAGGATCCGGTTGTAAAAGAGTTAGCTAGTAGTAGTCAAACCAAAAACATGGCTTCATCAGTCAATCAAATTCATAACAGTTAGTTTAAGCCAGGCACCCAGCTACGTAGGGAGGTGTAGACTTCCTGATTGGTTAGGGTCCTCGGGATGGTGAGAACCAGTGACGGCTGGAGACAATTAGTGAAAATCGTTGTCAATGGCTGACGTAGATGCATTCACTCTTTGTGATTTGTCATATCCAATAAAACTATTGTTCTTCCATATTACTAATTTTTCCCTCACACTTCTGTTTATTATCTTTCTTTTGAACCTCCCGTAACTCTGTTCTCTTGCTTTGTGTGCTACATGAATGAAGAGTGGCAACTCGAAATACTGTACATCTGTGCAAAGTTCTATGTTGAAACCAGTCGGTCAGTCAGACAAACCCCTTTCCCCTGAAGGGGGAAGTACCATCAGCCCCAACAAGTTGGTGGCTGACGAAATCTCGGTACGGATACAGAGGGCTCGTTTCGCAAATGGCAGTTTACGCCGTCTCTGGCGTAGACGTGATATCCGACTGGGTGTCGACCGAAGGGCGTGTGTACTGCTCAGAAGTCCTCTCCGTCCTCCTTTATGGCTGTGAGACCTGGCCATTGAGAGTGGAAGACATGAAAAGGCCGGCTAGCTGTCTTTGATCATAGGTGCCTGCGTTCTATCTCCCGTGTGAAGTGGTATAATAGGGTGAGCAATATTGAGGTTAGGCATCAGTCAAGTGCAGAAGAAATCAATACACGAAGCTGTGAAGCTACATCGATTGAGATGGTCAGCACACGTGTTACGCATGCCTAGTCATCGCCTTCCTCGACAATGGGCAATGTTAGCTGACATAGGGTCAGACTGGAAAAGAGCTAGCTAGTGGCGGTAAGACCAAAACATGGCTTCATCAGTCAATGAAATCCACAACAGTTCCTTTAAGCCACATGGGGACGTGCAGATTCGCTGGCTGGTTGGGCTCCTTGGGATTATAAACACCAATGGTTGAAGACAATCGGTGATATGGCTCAAACTCATCGTTCTCAATGGCTAGCGCAGATGCATCCACTCCTTGTGACTAACGACTCCAAATGAAACTATATCGTTCTTCGTTATTACTATTGCTTTTGACTCATATCCGTATCTACTGTCTATATTATGCATTTCTTCTACCTTCTTCTCTTGCTTTGTGTGCTACATGGGAGGAGTGTGGCGGCTTGAACTGCCGCACAACGGTGCAAAGTTCTATGTCGAAAACAGACAGACAGACAGCCGGTAGTAGGTCCGGTAAAGAGAGAATATTGGGCGCGAGGCTAACAACACCACTCCATACAAATTAAAACCAGAGCTACCGAAACTTCAAAAATGAAGCTTGAAGCCCTATGTTCCACCAATCGGAACACAAAGGAATACAAAAAAGCGTAATAACTCTTCAGAAAGTTAGCATAAACACTAATAAGAATTACACATTAGCAAAGTGACATCTCAAGTGATTTTGAACAATAAAACTTTGGAGACATTCACCACCGCACAAAGATATTTGATTTTGATATGCATGCCTTGTATTTCGAATGACTTCAAGACTGAGAGGTCTTGGCAGTGGTGTTTTATATATTCCACAGGGTGGGGGGGGGTGGGTTCTAGCCTTACACCCAACCTGACGACTAGGTGAGGTTTAGGAGTGCACCGACCGGGGACTGAACACTGGACCATGTGTGCATGTGCGTGTGGATGGCAGGCATTCTCCCTGACGCCAAGCTAATGAAACTACATACATGTAACACAAACAAGAAGGTAAAATGAAAAATAACGATAACTTACGAACTGGATTAAAAACCACTAATAAACGAAGATTGAAAGTAGCTTTACAATGATCAATATCCGATGAAGTAGTAGTATGCGATGACAGTGAAGATGTCGAGTTAATAATCCCATCATTATGATTAATAGTATTCAATTGTGTTATATTATCTAATGGACAACAGGCATTTATCATAGAATTGATAATTTGTACCACGTCGATTGGTTTTAAATGTTCCACTGAACGACCATTCACAGCCAACAATTGATCAGCACGACGTATTTGATTGTGGATAGATAGAACGTTTGGTAAACTGTATGAAGATGGTGGATAGCCTGAATCACACGATGATGTTGATGTGGATGAGGATAAGGATACAGTTGTGGGACCAGATTTTTGATTGGTCAATGAATCAGGGGATAATGTGACGTCTGAATAATAATTATTATTATTGTGAATAAGACTATGAACCTGGATTCAATGAAAAATAAAAAACATAATTATAATTTCAGTAAATTGAATATTCCCATAATTTATTCAGAACAAAATATTTAGAGCGAACAATTGTTTGTTTTCATTAAATTCTTCTTCAGCCCACTTGGTAGATACGCGGGACACCCGATAAAACTTGACCAGGCGTTCTCAGTTATTTTTACCGCGTTCCTAGTAATTTATCTAGAGGAGCTCGACTACGTCTTCTATCAGTAGCTGAAGCGGTGGCAATTAATACCAGAAGACCATCTCTTTGCATACAGAAGAAGTATGTTCAACCTCTATGTTTACCTTGGCCTACAATAAAGCCAACAAATCCTCCATTAACACTATAAATTCCTTTCACAATTTTCTTTTCTTTTCTTCTTCTTCTTCTATTCCTCTGTTTCATTGACAAACGTTCATTTTCGACTTTTATGATTTCATGACCTTTCTTATGATTTTATTACCTTAGGTTTAAGTAGTGCTTTTCTAACTTGCTATCGTATTTACAAAATCCTGTTCATTCCACTTCATTATGTTCATTATTATTATTATTTGACAATCATTCACCAATAGTGCTTGTAATTTTACACCATATCATCGTTATTATTTTACAGTCATTCTTATTGTCGTTATTTTCAACCTTGAACTTATGTCTAGACCGCCCCATTCGTTGGTTTATTTTCATATTGTCTCACACACCCTGATTACACTTACTCTCGAAACCTGTATTTTTCTGTTGACTATATTTATATATACACACACACATCATTAAATTAAATTACTTCATCTCATTTTGTCCCATGTTCTCATTGACCATGCATATTAAAAAACTATCTGACTATTGTTCCATCCCATCTCACTAATACTTGTTCCACAATACACTTTCTCATATGATTCTAATTTGCCTTTACTACCTTAAATTAATGGATTTATAATTGTAGAGCCTGAAGAAGAATTTATTGAAAACAATTGTTCGCTCTAAATATTTTGTTCTGAATAATTATAATTATTATTTATCAAAGTGGAAAATATACAAAACCAAGCTATCTCTGACCACATATGGACTTTTCAAGTTAGGCGCATAATGTTACGTAAGGTGGGGGGGGGGTAAGTCAATCAATGAGGTTGTCAGACAGAATCACTTGGTGAAATGGCTAGGACATGTGTAGCGCATGCCGAATCATCGCCTTTCGCGACCTCATGACCCGTATCTCCTTGATGCGAGTCATGAGGTAGAAATCGCAAATTCCTTTAAAATTATCAATAGACAAAGGAGCTCGATTCTCCTCAAGTTTGTCGAAGCAATCTCCATGAAGCACCTAAAACCCGATTTATGTGTTCAGAAAGAAGTAGTTATTAGTCTTTCCTTGCCCTGTCTGGTAACTGGATGTCTTTATTCTCCCTTTCATTTGATTACGCAATCTTCGGCTTTAACCTCAGCCCTTTGACACAGTGTAATTTTGCTTGTCTCTTGTTTCTATGATTTGAGTTGAACTCGTCTTTATTACGTAACTCCTTTACCATTCTATGCATACATTTATTTTGTTTTGTTTAAACTTGAATTGCCTGTGTGAAAACTATATAAGGTTAATTTTCTGAGCACTGTTCACTAATTGCTGAACCTTCTGTCAACTGACATCATGAAAAAAAAATTTGCAAGTATGTTAAAACTTTTCTGTACATAAACCTCATAATTTATTTAGGCTGTATGCAAGCAGCTGAGCTGATGAGAAGAAGCCAACGAAATCAACAATGATGGTACCATCTTCTTATTCTGCAAAAACCGCCACTGTTGTTCTTGCTTTATTCAAATTCATCAAGGGGAATAAATGCATGAACTTTACCATTATTATTGTTATTATCATTATTATTCCCATCATCCATATTTTATTATCCCTCTATTACTGTTTATTAATAACATTGCGTTTTCATATTGATTTTACATAAAAACAGTTTATCGTCTTTCCCACTAGTTCCTGTCCATTCTACACAATCTTATTGATTAGTCATTATCCCACACTTATTACGTCATGCCAAATTCTGCCTATTTTCAACTCCCAATTAATAATCTCTTCTGGCTTACACTTTATAATACGTAATACCTTTTTCGAGGACAAAGTTTACCAGTATCTGATTGGTCTTATGATTTTTTTTGTTAAATATAATTACGATTGTACAGCTTATGAAAATTTAATTTTAATTTAATTTAAAATTTTTTATTATAACTTGACTCCACACAGTATTTTTGATACAAGTATGGAATTTTCAGCATGTGATATCGGTAGCCCAAATTTAGCAGGCCAACCATAGATATCAGGCGTGTGTCGGCCAGGGATCGAACCCAGGACCATGTGTATGGTCGGCAAGCGTCTTAACCGCTGAATCGTCGAAAAGAAAATTTTCTTCGCTGTTTACGTCAATATGGGAATATTTCGTTCATTGACAGTTGGTATGAGTCAGACATGTAGGGAGGTGTAGACACCTTGGCTGAGGTGTCCTTCAGGATTCTAAGAACCAGTGAATAGAGATTAGTGGTGGAGATGAAAACAACTCTTCTTCACCAAAAAGTGTTTGATGAATTGTACCGTATTCACTTTTTTTGGGTAATTAGGCAAATGTAAATGGAGTTGAAGCTGATAACGGAACTCAAAGCAATACAGATAGCTAATAACGAAGAGGACAAGCGCATCACTCAGTTTTGTAGTAATGTGATCTATTCAGATCAAATGGCCAGAAAAGATCACAACAGGATCTCTGGGAGCGAACAACCCAGCAGGAACCAATTGTCAACAAATAAGCAGGAAGAAATGGCATACTCTGAAAAACCATCAAGTGAATCACAGACAGGCCTCGAATGGAACCGATGAGAAACGGCGGTTGGCGTCCAAGGGTAAGGAGGAGTCATGTGAAGAGATGAAAGTATGTGGGCAGACGTGCCAGGTGAAAACGTTGGCGGAAAACCGAAGCAATGGAGACGTTCGGTGAAGCCTTGTTCCTCTAGGAACAAAAAAGCAATAAAAATACTAATAAATTATATTCGGAAAAAGGCATATGAATTTCATTCACTGTCACATAATCGATGATGAAGTGGAAAGACTCAGACGAGTAAGTTCTCATTAAAAATGGATATCCTATACAAGACTCATAGAGGAGATATGAAAGTAAGTCAGAAAGCCTGAAAGCATCCAAATGGTGTTGATAACAATTACCGTTTACGAATGTTGAAGTTAAAAGTGATACTACACTCAGTAAATGACCAATGAATGTGTGAAGGACAAACTGCCATTTTGAGACACCTCGATGTGTGTTTATAAATTCATTTGGAGTTAGTTATATTGGCCACAGAAGACGCACACTTAAAAAACGCATCTCTGAATATAATCCGACAAGGTTGCCATTAAGAGGACAATGCAAGACAATTCACTAGTACAATTCTCGAGCACATGGTGAACACTCAGGCCACACAGCTCCACCAGAGTCACCTTTTACAATTACCTACAAGGTGAGACCGAATGATGCAAGTGGTGTTAGATTTCAGCATTTGTGTATGACGGGGGCGCTAGCGATTCAGCAATATTAGCCCCGAACTCTCGGAGCAGAAAAGGTTTGTTCAATCTCTTATTCTACCACCTGGTGTTAATCTCTTCCCCCCATCGTTCGCTTCTACTTATGGTAATTAATTCCTTGTTATCACTCTTACATTCCTTTTGTAAATTTTAACAGGCTTCATCCTCTTACCCTCTTTACACTCAATTTTCATCCTTACTTCCATTGTGTCGTTGACTATTACGCAATTTTGCATCTTTAGAAACCACATCTGAGTAACTGATTCAACTGTCATCATCCCCCTGCCAACTCAATAACTCAATGATAGACTACTAGAGTCATTGACTAGTGTTACGCGTCTAGTCCTTTATTTGGTGCAGACTTAATTCAATCAGTCAATTTTGCAATGTGGTCATTATGCCACTAGGTGGCTTGCCATCATAGCACACACAGAATTGTTGTCACTTGATGGTTGGAGGCAATCGGCAGGAAGCCCTGTCTGGACCTAGGTTTCGTGCTTCTTAGGACTCGCCAATCATCAAGGAGTATCTGCAAACTTGAAGGAACTCATGTCCTTTCTAAGATACGAACCCGGGTCACCTAGTACTGCCTGTAGTCAGAGAAGTTACGAGCTGTTGGGGCTAGCGACTGACCTCCTGTAGGACTGTATTACATACTACTAGGTGGTAACTGATCAAATCCAGTCTGTACCAAACAAAGGGCTAGACGCATGACACTAGTTAGTGTCCAGTCAAATTATCCAATACAGTCCAATGGAAGGTTGATCACGAGTCCGAATAGCTCAGTGTTAATGTCTCTGACTGCAGCATTGAGTGTCATGGGTTCGAATCTCAGGAGGGACATGACTTCAGATTGCAGCTCCGCCTTGCTGCTGACTGGTGAGTGCCTACTAGCACGAAACCTAGGTCTAGACAGGACTTCCTTCCAACTGCCTCTAACCACTTTATGTATTTTAAATGGAGACATTACGTCCACATCACCTAGAAATCACTCACTTGATGTATGAATACACCGAATCCATCTTCACCACCAATCATTGTAAATGGTAAATCAATAAGATGACTATTGTTGTTGTTGTGACTAGTATTCAGATGTTGTTCACCACCAAGGGATTTATTTTCTGAATGAATATTCTGTCGTACATTTTTCAATGGTATTACAAGTTCTACATGACGTGGACGAGCTTTTGTACTACACGCCAGACGAAATAGACGACGTTCACCAGCTGAAACAGACAAATAAATAGAATTCAAGTATTGCTTTTGTAGGGATTACGTTTGATTGGTTGGAGGATTGCATCATGAGCTGACATCAGTTAGATAACCATTAGAAAAGCTATTTGGAGTACTGGACAGCTGTTATTTCCCAGTTTAAGATTCTACATCAGTACGCACTCACACTGTGGGGTTCAAAACCAGGACCTTCTGGTTACAAGGCAACCTCGTAGACCATTATTAATGCTATGTCATGAATTGGCAGAAGTTAGAATTCATGGGCTAGTCACTGGATCACGTCCCAGTGGCCTAATGGTCTACGAGCATACCTTGTAACTAGAAGGTTCTGGGTTTAAACACCGCAGTGTGGGTGTGTACTGATGAAGAGTCCCAAACTAGGACGGAACAGCTTTCCAGTACTCCCATGTTTTAAATGGTTCCCTAACTGATGTCAGCTCATGATGAAGTCCTTGAACCAAATGAATAATAATTATAATAACAGATATATATTTTATCCGAAGATTATTTATGTAGACTACCGTTTGATTAGATAATACAGTTGTGTTTCTCATCTACCACGATTATGGCGTAAGATGATGGTAATCGAAGAAGTCAAAGCATACTTGGAGTTATGGTATATACTTTAAATCAACAATTACTGATCTCAAAGTAATGACTACCTGGTGACTATTTTTCGATTAATCACAACTAATAATAATATGATTAGAGTAAACAATCATTCATCAGCCTTCTTTGTTACGACATGCCTATTGAATGTGACAGATATGAAGAGATTAGCTACTTTTGAGCATACATATTGTTTGTCTTCAATTTCACGTATCATTCTCTTGATATTAGGAGGGGACATCTGAGACCCTACGTAGGACTCTTATTAAGACAGGAAATAAGGGTGGCATTCGAACCTACAAAACTCACTCAGATAGGAAAAGCTCTGTAGACTAAAGGACCCAATAAAACAAAATAACATAATTTTACAAAATACCTTGCAATGACTGTGAGTTAGGTCAACAACAAGGGAGTAGTCAGATTGTCTGTCAGAACATAAGAATTTAGCTCAGGTTAGAATGATTGATCCCACCCGCGAAGATAAGTAATTTCGAAAAAGGAACTCAGCACTACATTGCACTGCATACACTAACACACAACCACACAATATGGTGGTGGGACAGAGTAAAAATTCTAGAAGGTAATAAGGGTAGTTGGATAGAGAGATTGATTACTGAATCCTGTCTGGTTCATCGAGTCTACATCCAACATACGCAGACTTTTATCAACAGTTGTCCACTTCTCTGGCTCCATATTGAAGATTAAATGACCAGTCGGTCAGAAAGAATTAGCTACAAGAAACTATGGAAACAAACCGACAGGCGAGAATCTACATATATGGAAAAAAATGGAGATGGATTGGGGCACACGCCATTGAGAAGATCGTCGGATAACATCGCACGCCAGACCATTGCTCGCATGGAACCCCCGATATGAAGCGACAAGTGGGACGTCTCTTCAAGGTTGACGTGGAGGAAGAGATCAGAAATTATGAGCAATCACGGAGTCAGCTGAAGAGCGCCGCAGAAAGTAGGACAAAGTGGAGATGTCCTTTTGAAGCCATATGTTCCCCTCGGAACCCAAGAGAACAATAATAAATAATACCTGTCAGATTTACTTATTTTCCGACCATTGAGACCAAATAAAGAAACTTGAAGAAGAACCTGACGAGTACTGATAAAAGTAGCGCAGTAAAGTTCTCCAATACCAGTTTGCAAGAATCCAGTGGATTTCAAGTTACATCATAAAACTGACATCAGTTAGACAACCATTGAGGACCCGGTACTACTGGACAACTTAATTTGCTCTCTCGTTTAGAACTCTTCAGGAGTACGTACCGATGATCCCACCAGAAATCATACATACCCACGACCTGCAGATTACGAGAGGACCACGTGACCATCTAGTCACTGAGACAGAATCAAATTACCCATAAATTCTAACTTCTGTAGATCCCTGGTGTGGGGTAATGCATGCAAACTACTGTGAAGAGTCCATAACTAGGAGGAACACAGTTGTCTAGTACACCTTGATCTCCAGGGGTTTCCCCACTGATGTCAGTTCATGCTCTCCTCTATCCCGCTAGGGAAAGATAAGTATTTGTGAAAAGTTACAACTTGAACTTCTATCCTCACCTAGACTAAATCATCAATGTACCACTTATAGAAACAGTGGATTTTGTATACGAAGAACTCATAAGACGAAACATCAATGTCGGCATTCCTATTCCTTTTATGAAAGAGCTTCTCTTGAAATGTACAATGAATGTCCCCTTTTTATTGAATAAGGAACTATATAGACAAATGGTGGACGGTATGGCAGTGGGACCCATTCTAGCCGACATTTTCCTTGCGAAACTAGAAAATGAGCCTTTGAAGGATGTTATTAATGAACTTGAATTCTATTGTTGGTACATGCACGATACATTTTTGATTACGAAAAATGAGGAGGAAGCAAAGACCATTCTGGAAAAATTTAAGGAGGTTCATCCTGCAATAAATTTTACTATTGAGAAGGAGAAGACTAGTATTTCATTTCAAGATTTCCTTATGATCAGAAAAGAGGATGGCGCAATAAGAAGTGCATAAAGAAAACCTACATCAACGGGTCAGTATACTCATTTTCTCAGCTTCGTGCCCTTGATAAAGTGCTTGGTTCACACAGCAAGAGCAATCTGCCGGGATGAATGTCTTGATGAGGAACTTAATAATATTAAACAGTTGCTAAGTGAGAATGATTATCCTGAAAAGTTTATTGATAAGAATCTGAATCTAAAATCAAGGCAGCCCAAGGTACCAACAGTTCCAAAAAAGGCCTTATTCTTACAAATGCAGTTCCTTGGGGACAACATCAGCGAGATACTAACACAACGCTTCAGAAATGCGGTAAAAAGGCCATTCCCAGCTGCTGAATTACGTTGTGTCTTCAAAACCACTCCTCTTTTGCGTTCGGGAGTAAAAGACAAACTGCCTAATTTCGCCTCTTCCATGTGTATCTACCAAATTTAACTGCTCCTGTGGAGCCAGCTACACAGGCCGTACAACTAGGCGTGTTTCCCGTCGAATTTCCGAACATAATCCTGCCTGGTTAAGCAAAGGACGAACAAAATCTATTCGTAGCGCTATTTTATCTCATCTTGTGGATACAGAACACAAGATTGATGTTAACCATGCTTTCAGGGTCATTTACTGCATACCTACGAATCTCAATTTCGCACTAAGAGTTCGATTACTAAATATTGCTGAGGCTGATTGTTGGGATTCACATTAAGAAGCCCAATTTGTGCATCCAAAAAAAGCTAGTTCAGACATTGTCCTTACCTTGGCCATCTAGGTTTGAATAATCCGGATTTTTTGTGGAATTTCCCTAACTTTAGTTGATATTCTGTTCGCTACTATATCTTTATCATCATTATAATAATTTAAGCATCTTTAATGAACTGTAATTCCATTGTGATCTTACTTAACAAATCGATATTATTAGAAAAACACTAATATTGTTATTGACTACTAATCTAGAATATTCTATGTATATAAACATATATGTATGATAATTGTAGAGACGGGAGAGGGATTTATCGAAAAGGATATTCTTTGCTCAATTATTTTGAGTTTCAAAAGTGACGATCTATATATATGGATACATTTATTTCAACCTGATCGCCAACCAACCTACCTGTACCATCTGATGATAACATATGATCAAATTTTTCAATTGATTTCATCATATCATAACTATCTTCAAAATCATTGAAATGATTATGTACCCATAATAGAATAATTCGATTGACACGTGATCTCAACTTAGGATTATGTAAATGCCATGACAGTAGACGATCGACAATTGGTCGTGGAGAATCTAAAAATGTCCGATAGGTAAGCAAAAAATCCTCTGGATAGGTAATATCTACATTCGATAGATCAGCGATCAAATGTTCAATTAGCTTCTCGGGTGTACCCTAGAAAAGAAAAGAAAAGAAAAGATAAAAATGTAAACAACAAAAGAATGAAAGGAAGAAAAAGCAGGGAAAAAGAAAATTATTGATTAGGTGCAAGGTAGTTATATTATATTATCTGTGTCTGCAAATATTCCCTACAAATAACTAACCTTCCAATGTAGAATGTTACATTGAAGTGCAACACAGTTCAATTTGCTGCACAAGTTGTTTTTTTATTTTTTTATTACAGCTTCATTCCACACCGTATTTTTTGGTACAGGTATGGAATTTTCAGTATGTGATATAGGTAGCCCAAATTTTGCAGGCCGACCATTGACATCAGGTGTGCGTCGGCAGGGGATCGAACCCCGGACCATGTGCATGGTCGGCGAGAGTCCTAACCACTGTGCCACCGACGCAAAAGAAGAAAAAATAGCGAAGACAGAACAGGGAGAAAATAGCCTAAAATCGAAATCTGCAATTCAATGGAGTCAGAAAGGCAGTAAGCTACCACTGCTGCTGACCGGCTTCATCAATGTGCATCTATCAGTTCACTTCATCCATCTGTGGAACCAGGTATGTGGACCATAATCAGCGTTTATTATCTAAACGTATCACCGAATACTTACCCTAATGGTTTTATGAAGGAGAAAAACGACGCTCCGCCACCGCCACAGCTCTATCCTGGAACACCTGATCGAATCTAAACACACACACTAAGCTAAACCACAAAACAACTTCAAAGAAATAAAGGGAAATACGAATTAAACTTCTTCAAACCGTAGAAGCAATGGCGGTAATTCACATGTTAAATCCTGAACTCTGCATACAAAAAAAGTTTGTTCAGTCATTAAATCTACAACAGACCTGATCTGTCTTAACACTGGATACGTTACTTATGAAAGAAGCAACCTCCTTTACCTACCGATCTGGGAAGCCTCGTTTCAACTACAGGTAGACGGAACTGATGGGGATATGAAAGTCAAACACACCCTGAATGAAAATCTTCGACCGAAACAGGCTGGATTCAGGAGGAACAAATCATGCATCGATCAAATCGCAACACCACGGACCATCATTGAACAGATCTTGGAATGGCAGTCAGCTCTCTGCCTCACTCAACTTCATTGACTTTGAAAAGGCCTTTGACAGCGTCGATCGAGAGGTGATTTGGAAACTACTTCGCTATTACCAAGGGGTGCCACGAACAATTATACATCTCATCCAACAGTTGTACGACAATGTTACATGATAAGTAATCCACAACGGGAAATTCACGGCATCCTTCAAAATGAAGACGGGAGTAAGACAAGCTGGCTGTCTGCCTACTACCTCCAATGATTTTCTTGATTGGGGTAGATTGGATAATGCGACGGATAACGGCGGGCAGCGAAGAAACAGACATAAAATGTACCCACACAAGAACTGCGAGGATCTGAACTTCGACGACGATATGTGTCTGATTTGCCACAAACTGGAAGATATGCAAGTGAAAATTAACAAGTTGTCAGAAGAAGCATCCAGAGAAGATAGGACTTCAGGTGAACATAGAGAACACAGAGGTGGGTGATGAAGATTCCTGACCAACATCAACAGCATAGCAGCAACAACAACAGACAACAATCAGCATGAATGGGAGGAATCTGAAAGAAGCTATGTCTTTCGCCTACCTACCTATCTGGGAAGCATCGTTTTAACTACGGGCGGATGGAACTTACGAGGACATACTCAAAGTGAGGATAGGGAAAGCAAGGCAAGCTTTCATCACTCTCAAGTCTGTGTGGAGGTCAACAGCACTACTCAGCATGAAAAATAAGATCCGGATTTTCAACTCTAATGTAAAGTCAGTGCTACTCACTGTGCGGATCAGAGACTTGGCACGTCATGAAGAGCACCTCAAACAAACTACAGACTTTCATCAATAGCTAGCTGTCTTCGCTCAACACTAGTCAAGATCAGATGACCGGCCAGAAAAGATCAGCAATAGTGAGGGGTCTCTAAGAGCGAACCAACCAGGAACCGACTGTGCAACAAGTATTCAGGGAGAAATGGAGGTGGATTGGATTGGCCATACTTTGAGGAAACCATCAAGTGACATCAGAAGACAGGCCCTCGAGTGGAACCTGAAAGGGAAGCGGCGAGATGGTCGTCCAAGAGTGACTTGGAGGAGGTAATGTGAAGAGGAGATGAAAGCATATGGGCAGACGTGGAGCCAGGTGATGAAAACGTTGGCGGAGAACCAAACGCAATGGAGACGTTCGGCTGAAGCCCTATGTTCTTCTAGGAACTAAAGGAAACAATAATATAATAATAATAGTAGTAGTTTTATTTTCCTCCCTCACACCCACCCATTAAATTTCTACCCATTATCACCACACTCTGTTGTTAACTTGACTCTCGATCAAATTTTAGTTGAATTCTACTCAATCTCACTCAATTCACTTATTTCTATTTCAATTTTAGATTTTATTCGATTAACGCTTTTTAAATTACGCAATTTGTTATCTAAAAACATTTACAACATTCTAATGACACATCCTTGGAAATATTCCTATTGCTGTTAAGACTATTTATTAAATAAATATGCGATTGTAAGGCTTGAGAATGATATCGCTGAAGCGATAAGTAACTCTTTGCTGAGTGTCTTAAACGTTGCAAAGACCTCATGACAGTGAAGGAGCTGGACAGTTCCCTGAATTACTGTGTCAAGTCTGCGGTAGCGAAGACAAAGATAGATATCTTTTTGAAGAGAATGTTTAGAGGTCGACATGAATATCCAAAGATATTACTGGAAATCACTCAGACGCAACTACATCCAACCGAATACCAGAACACTCAAGCGACACAAGCTAAACAGCATTAATTCCATTCACAATCACGTGTTCCTGAACTAGAACGAAATGTCTCTCTACTTACGAGCTCACGCAAAAAAGAACCAATGCTAATCCTTCGAAGAATATATTCAAGAAGTCACAGAGAAGAAACAAGGCAATAAGACGAAGTCAGATCTAACTGAGAGTCTGAAGTCGACTAGTAATAGTGAATGTCCACATTCCCAAGCAATCCAGAAAAGTATGTATAAAGTCGAAAACGAAGGGAGTGACTAACGCTATTCAAACTTTGCTCCAGTCTAAAAAGTAAAATTGACAAAATATCTTACTAATGAAGACAGATTTATAGAGAGGTGGCGAGAGAGAGAGAGAGACAGCGATCCAGGTTCAATTCCAGGACGGTGTACTACATAAACCTTGTCTAATTTAATAACAGATAGGGAGTATTCCATAAAAAAGTATGTAAAAATCAGTCTTACCGACTGATATTACCAAAACACAACATGTATTTCTCAGTTTGAAAAGCAAAATTACCAAAATATCTAACTACTAAGACAAATTAAGTGAAAGAGGGCGATCTGGGATTCGATTCATGGAGAATGCGCAGTACTTAAACGTCGCCTAGTTTATTTACTAAACAGGTGAAGAGTAAGCCTGAAGAACAGTCTATCAACCTTATTCCGTGAAAACATCAACACTAATGCTACTGAAACTTCAAAAGTTGTAGCTCTATTTAGTCCCCATGAAACGCAAGAAGTAAAGAACCTTTAAATCGTTGTGTTCACAGTAAGAAACCAAGGGAAATTCCGTGCTATGAGGTGATATACCAACAGAGGCCTAGCATCTCCGTCCAGTAAAATTATTGAGCTGGGAATTCCGGAAAACAAAGCCAAGAATTCCCGTGCACAGTAAGATATACTCATAGCATGCGAGGATTCTTCAGTGGTGGTCGCTTGGGGCGTCAAGGAGATGAATCAGCCTTAAACCACCCGAAATCTGGAGAGCTATGTGAGCAAAATGATTTCGAAAGGGGCGAATTTGATGAGATTTTTGAAAACATACACAAAAGCACTATATATATAACGTCATCGCAATGCTTCAACATTTACGGGGTCTATGAAGAATTATATAGTTTGCACAGTCATCCACCATTCCTAAAACTAAAATTTATCGAAATTTGTGGTATTTTCGAGACTGTTTTGTTGTAGTATACAAAGTATGGTTGTTTGAACTCAATTATTTTCAATGTACGGGGCTATGGGAAAGTCAACGATACTACTACTGACACGTAGTTCTATAGGCTGTAGTGGGTGGAGCAGGGCTCAAACCAAGGACCTATTGTTTGAAAGGTGCATGATTAAATCAGTGCATCGCATCTCTTCATAATAAAGAAACAGATATTTGTGTGCCCCCCAGACATGCATCAACGATAAAATCCTCTCTCCAACGACACACGTGGTCTAGGTTCGATTTTGAGCCGACGTAGTGCTTAACTACCTCGCCTAGTCGGTAGTTGGGCCCAAAAAAATAAGTAAGATTGAGCATATGTCATCAGCAACCTCATCCCCCCCCACCCCCGAAGAAAGCAGACTACAACATCGCTACTGAAACGCCTTATACACTAATTACCAGGGTAAAAGAAAGCAAAATGTGAATATAAAAAAAATTGATTTCTTATCATCTCGTAGCTCTACACACCTATTTTACTGATCATGAGTAGATTCAACGAAAGACGGGTCTGTTTTCAGAGTTTGATTACGTGAGAAACTATGACTCATAAAGGGGGGGGGTAACACAGACAATTACGTCAACAGTGACACTCGAAATGACATTGATAATAATGTCATGTGAAATATGCATAAAATTTTATTTTGATGAAGTCAGAAAGTGTTATACAGTAATTATATTTAAAGATGACGACATTTCGAGCACAATTTATTGCTACTCATAATTATATCAAGGTACTCACTCACAAAACTTTCTTGCTTCATGCATATACTTGAATAAAAATTGATGATTAGACATTTGAATAAAATCAACAATATAGGATAATGTACATTCGGAGATAATAATATGAGTGGCATCAGTGAAATACATTCAGAAGGGAAATAAGATGTTTCTTATAGGGGAAATAAATAACTTGTTAGAATGTTATAATGTGTGAATCGAATAGATTTTAACAGTATTTATTATTCTCTGATTTGACTGGTGGTAATAATATCTTCCATATCTCTAGTACTTGCATTGAGTCAATTCTGTTGCATGTGTTGGGTGTAGACTCGATGAACCTTTACAGACGACGGATGAGATGAATTAAAGTCTAATTATCCAATATTAGAATGCGTTGGCTTATTATAAACGCTAGTGTGCAGTTTACCTTCTTCTGTTCGTTTGATTTTTTACAACCTAACATCACAACTGATTTTCCTTGTTAATTTTCTGATTCAAATGTGAGTTTTATTCCCTTTACTAGTGAGTTTATATGTATGAAGAAGCTAGAGATATGTTCTGTTTCTACTTATCTCCAGCATATTTTTGGAGTAGAATTAAATGTATTCAGAGCTACGATAGGGGATATTAGTGATCCACCCCATCGCTAAACCATCGGTTTGTTTATATATTTTGACCTGGAATTTAAAGACAGTGGATATGAGGTATAACTGAATTCCTATATTAAATTTCCTCAATGGGCAGCTTTGTCCTACGACTAAGTTCGGGATTAGATTAGTGTACAGACTAGTTATATCAGAACTGATTCTCAAAAGAGGCAGGAATTAGGGTGGCATTCAAACCTTCAAACTCACTCAGGTTGGACAAGTTCTGTAGGCTTAAAGACCCGATTGACTCAATTAAACAAAATAATATAATTTACAAAATACCTTGTAATGACTGTTAGGTCAGCTACATAAGTCAAACTAGTAGGTCGGGGGTAGGTAGATTGGCAGAACATAAGAATTTAGCTAAGGTAAGAATGGTTGACCCCGAGAAGATAAGTAATTTAGAAAAAAGCTCAGCAATTGCACTGCATACATTAACACAAAAGTCACACAGTGTTATACAGTAATATTGACTGATGACCACCTTTCGAGCACAATCTATTACTGCTCATAATCATATCAAGGCAATACTCACACAACTTTCTTGCTTCACTTATATACAAGAGTGAACATTGATGATTAGACATTTGAATAAAAATCAATATGGGATAACATACATTCAGAAATAATAATGTGAGTGTTATTGATCAAATACAATCAGATGGGAAATAAGACGAGTGTTTTTATAGTCAAAATAAGCAACTTGTTAGAAAGTTATGATGTACGTGAATTGAAATAGGATTTTAACATTATTTATTATCCTCCTCTGATTTGACTGACCGGTGGTAATAATATCTTCCATGCATATCTCTGGTATTTGCGTTGAGTCACTTCTGTTGCATGTGTTTGGTGTCGATTCTATGAACCAGGCAGGATTCAGTAATCAATTTCTCACGCGCTCCGCCACATACCCTATTGTGTGTTTGTGTGTTAAATGTATGCAGTGCAATGTAGTGCTGAGTTCCTTATTCGAAATTACTTATCTTCGCGGGTGGGGCCAATCATTCTAACCTTCCGATAATCTCATTCGTTTTAATTCTCATCATATTATATTTATTGATAACACTAATAGTGTTTCCGAAAATGTACTTTATCTCCCGCATGTTTCACGCATATCTTTTATTGATTTTATTCAAATGTCATGTATATAAACGAAACAAGAAAGTTGTGTGAGTATTGCCTTGATATAATTAATTATGAGCAGTAATAAATTGTGCTCGAAAGGTGGTCATCAGTAAATATTAATTACTGTATAACAACACTGTGTGTGACTTTATCAAAATAAAATTTTATCCATAATTAAGTTATACTCTACCACAGTGCCCAAGTTTTATCCTTATGTCATGTGAATTTGTTTTAGTTGAACTACTTTGAAAGCGAACATACTCTTTCGCTGTTTTACTGATATCTTTCAGTATCATTGTACACATTGAACGTTGGTCGTCTTATATCCTGATGATATCTAAGAAAATATTCCGTCTTACCTTCTACATCAAGAAGTTAAAACATTCTAGTATAACCCAACCCTTACTCCTACAATTCGTTAACTCTCGCATTCTGCCTATTATTCTCTATTGTTCCCCCTTAGTTCTTTCCGGGCTACTGAAGAAAGACTATAACACATTACGCAGGATGTTAAATGTTGTCAGCAGGGTAAGCAACGTTCCACTTAACCAGCTTGTTAATATTATGGTAGACAGACACTTGGACTCATGTGAAAAATGGGCCAAAACCATTTTATCAAACTCACACTACCCTCTTCATTCACAACTCTCCCCTTGTATCTCATCAGGCAAAACCAGAAGCCCATATAGAAAACTATATGCTGGCACTAGCAAGTACAAAAATTCAACCATACCCTACTTGACTCGTGTTCTGTGCGATAAAGAAAGCATTAGGCGTGACACCTATAATTCTTTAAGTAGTCAGCAGTACAACTGGACCTCGTCTTTCCAACTCATATCATTTATAGGTACAACGTTTTCTTTCTTTCTTTTCCTATTCTCTCTCTCTTTTTTCGGTTATGTGCTGCTTTGTTTCTTTCTTCCGCTTACGTCAGTAAATATGATAGCAACTACTTTTCTAACACCTTCAAACACTGTTCAACTTTGGCTTTGCTACCGACATGCCAATATGTTGTTGTCAAAACTATCTGAGATTACCCTTAATCTATGTGGAATTTTATTTTAATTGTTAATGTACTAACTGGATGCAATACTGTAGTAAAAATGCTGAGAATTCCATTCTGTATCACAAGTACTGTGTTGGAATAAAGCAAATTATTATTATTAAGTTATAAACAGTTACTCATATCGATAAGTGATTCACTGAAATCTCCCCAGCTCTTAAGCGAAAATGTTTAAAAAAAAGTGTATAAACAACACAACTAACCTTTGTGACTAATCGACATTTTTTCGATAGAATAGAATTATCATTTATTGATTTATTATTATTGTTGTTTAAATCATTGCTAAGATTCGTATCTAAATTAATTGATTCATAGACAAGAACAACACGTCCACCTTCTCCCAATTCTGGTATTTCAGCTTCACCTTCACGACTTATTATTTTCATATAGTCTGCTTGTGGTACACATAGAAAATAACAATCTTCAGTGACAGTACGCATAACACCACGATGTATACGTTCTGTTTTACCCGGACGAATACCGAATGCATCACCACGAGTTAATTCACGTATTGTACCGTCTGGTTCAATAACCTGTTACGAAAAGAAAAAACACAGGGAACAAAATTGCATAATTAATTGAGCAAATATGATATGAAATTACCAACACGAATAAAGATAAAAGATCGTATTGATTATTTGACTTACTTCAATGTGACACAGGGTTACACAGATCACAATTTTCGTATAAGGTCTGATGATACTAACTCAAGTCACTTAGAAGGTGGGGGTGGATTCGAACTTACGACTCATTTACCAATAATCAAGTGACCAAATCAATAACTCACAACGTCATACATGCATATTCTCAATGAGCTAACAAGCTACACTGGTTGAAAGGAGTATTTCACACAGGTCCTACCATGCAAGTTTGCAGTCACCATCTTAGTGTAAGTTAGTTAGCCTATGTTCGTAGTCTGAAGGTGAACAGGGATGTAACGGCAGTATGGTGCTTCCCCCTCAGATGAGCAGCATGTCAGCTACACTGCCTCCCCGCCGCTCTAAGGATGGGAGTGAAAAGAAAAGGTTGATTCCAAACATTTTAAATCCCAGCTTATCTTGCGGTGTTCCCTACCTAGTCGGTAGTAAGCCCACCAAATGGACACAAGTTCAAAATCTAGCACAGTCGCGCTGTGCGTGTGGCCAGGTACATGCCTGAAGTCTCAGTAGCAGTGATACTTATTTTTACAGGATGGGGCTGTTAGCCTCATCCTCAACCTTCCCTTTTTACCAGTCTTATTACTGGCTTAGTGAGGTAAAGAAGTGCGTCACTGGCTGGGGATCGAACCCCGAACCACATGGGGCGCGGTTGGCGAGAATCCTACCAGTGTGCTACCACCAACGCACAACTTCCCAAATAAGTGAAGTGGTCAACACTCTCTACCACTTCACTCTCCTCTGTCTTTAAGCTACGAGTCAGAGTAGTCCAGTCCTGTATCATCTTACATTTAACAGAAGCGAATCGCATTCCAAACATCCGAAGATTGTTGCTCAGGGTGGTCATCAGAAGAGTTTGCAATTTATCAGCGTCTGCACCCTCATATTCTAAGTCTATAGGAATATACCCTGGTAACAAGTCAATCCCAAATTTCGCTGAAGTCAGTTAGGGTTAAGTCCCATTAGTTCATCTATGATAAAATTAAACAGAAATAGGGACATTGGGTATCCCTGATGGACGCCACTGGTTGTCATCACTTTAGATGACAACTCTCCATAAGCTATTACATACCTGTGTGGATAAGAGTAGAATGCCTTGATTAGTGCGATATACTTTTTCGGCACTCATTTCACAGCCAAACACTGCCATAGTACTGAATTCGGCCTTAAAGTAAAGAAAAATGGCAATTATTGGATGCCGTTATACATGCCTGTATTTTCTAGAACCCTTCGAAGGGTGCCCAAACTGTAGCGAATTCAGCTGGATAGTACTCTCTGCTAGTTTTCAATGCTCTACTCTTACTTAACTAATCAAATATCTAATTCAATTTTAGATTTTCCCGTCGATTGATTGGACCAAAGTGCTCGGTCTCAGGTTGACATGTCTGTCGGCTTCTTGTGCAGATGCTTCGACGATGTTTGGGCGTTTGAATCTATGGACAGTGGGTTCGAGCCTCCGTCGTGGGAACATCATCATTCACTGCGGAATGCAGGCACATCCAGCTGACGAGTCGCAAATAAGACGAAATGCGCATTCTGCATTCCACCAATTAACTTCTAATCAAATATCATTCGTTTAATATATATTTTTTCTCCCAATTCAAACAGGGAACGCTAATTTTATGGCAATAGAAATGTAGTATCATCGAAACAAAATTAGCTAGCTAACTAAATAATTGACGCATTCACTTAGCCTGTCGTTTAGCCTGGCTAGGTGTGTTCTCATACCACCGCACCGCACCGCACTGCAATACAACACAACAATTTACACATGTATGCTGATTTGAAAGTGATAAATATATAGACAGAGTAGTGACAAAAATAAATCAAAGTTTGTGATTGTAAAGTGCACACACACACACACACCTCCACATACACACACAACATCTACATCTGTATGTTAGGCTGTACAAAGAACTGGACAAGGGATGGGGAAAATTTGCCGTAGATATAATACACCCAGACACACACAAACACACACACGCAAACAAGCAGACACACACACATACATTCCTTGTTCAGACATAAACAAAAGTGTAATACCTAATAATAATAATACAACATTATATTAAAATCGATTTTAGTTAACGATAAATGCTATAAACATTTGTTATTCATATCAGTGAGGATTTCCCTTTGGTAACATTTTTTTTGTTAGCCGAATTGATTTTGTAATCACACTTAGAGAACCATTGAAAGTCAGACAGTACTGAGAACAGCTGTTTCATTGTCGTCTGGGATTCCTTGACAGCATGTATTCGTGACTCCACACATCTAGGACCTTGAAGCCATCGAGACCCAATCCAATGGGCCTATCAATTCGCGATAGATTTAATAGCATACAAGGCCTCATTTTATCGAAGTGACTTGTTCCATAACGGTTAGCAAATGGAATTGACAACGTATATTTTCGCTTGCATCTCATTGATTTGCGTAGTATTATTTGGCTTCACCTTGTAGATGATCTTGAAAGACGACTCTGGTTGAGCAGCTACGTGGTCTGAGTTCACCAAATGCTCGAGAATTGAGCTAGTAATTGTCTTGCATTGTCTCTTTTTGCTAACCATGCCGGATAATGTTCAGAGATGCGTTTGGAAAGCGCGTGCGCTTTGTGCGGGCGGCCAATATAACTAGCTCCACACGAGCAGGTGAATTTATACAAACACACATTGAAGTGGCCCGTCCAAAGCGGCAGTTTATCCTTCACACATCCATTGATCATTTGTCAGCTGTAGAAATTGATACGTAGCTCAGCCATAAAGAAGGCTGTCCTCAATGATCTGCATAAGCGATTCTTCAGGATCTCAGCAAGACAATTACTAGCTCAATTCTCGAGCATTTGGTGAATTCAGGTCACGCAGCTGCTCAACCAGAGTCGTCTTTCAAGATCAAGATCTACAAGGTGAAGCCAAATGATACAAAGGGTGTCAGGTTTCGGCTTTTGTGTATAGGGCGGAGGCACTGGCAATTCGTCAATACAACCCCGAACTCTGTATACAGAAAAAAGTTTGTCCAGTCTCTTATGTAGTATTCTTCAAGTGACCTATATCCAGCAACCACAATACTAACACACAAAAGCAATGTTCCATATTCCTAATGAACCATAAGGCTTCATCCTTTCTGAGACAGGATTCTGTTGCCGTTTGATAGCTTCAAATCAAAGGGTAGTGTCAATGTTGGTGAACATTGAATAGTCGGTCGGTCGGTCGGTTTTCGACATAGAACTTTGCACATATGTGCGGCAGTTCAAGTCGCCACAATCCATGTAGCACGCGAAGCAAGAGAAGAAAGTAGAAGAAATGTATAATATAGACAGAAAACAGAGGTGTGAGACAAAGGAATAGTAATAACGAAGAACAAAAGTTTAATTGGAAATCATAAGTCACAAGGAGTGGATGCATCTGTGCCAGCCATCATGGAGAACGATTTTGAGCCATGTCACCAATTGTTTCCAACCATTGGTTTTTACCGTCCCGAGGACCCCAACCAGTCAGGAAGTCTACACCTTCCTACGTGGCTTAGTCGGAATAGTCGGTTAATCCGAACTGGTTTCCATTGGCAGGTGACAAGAAGGCTGTCACTGCTTAATCGTGAGAACTGGTTGGCAGAAGATTGGAGAAGAAATACGATCAGAAGTATTGTTGTATATTAGTTATATTAACGTTTATTTACAGACTTTAGCACTGATTAACCATTCTAAATCTGTTTCGTTATCGCTTGAAGAATAAATAATCGTGTTGCCCAACCGTTTTCTGTTGTTCTGTGTCGGTTACAACAGTGCATAGTGATCTGCGATAGGTCCAGGATCTCAGCGATCTGGATATTTAACAGGTGGTTTTACTCCCTTATTTTACATAACAGCAATCACTGAAGTTTGAACACGATAAATACACATGTGTGCGTGCCAGAATGCTCGCCAATCGGGGACGTGGTCTGGGTTTAACACTCGGAAGACGCACTCCTCTCATACGTCCGTCGCCTGGTTTATTTATTCACTTAGAAAACAGGGAAGATTGAACACGAGACTGGCAACCCCACACGCCACAAAAAAAGAGAAACATCACCGCTACTGAAACTTCAGAAGCTTGGCGCCCCATGTTCCACACGAAGCGCGCAAGGAGAGAGAACAACCAACACATGTATGATCTGTACACAGTAAGGTATAAAACACCTCACAACTTTGCTTATAACAAAATTGGTAACAAACTAATTTCAGATTCGATGATATTAGATGGTTGGAGTATCCAATACAGTCCTACAGGAAGAAGGTCAATCGCGAGCCCGGATAGCTCAGTGATGGTAACGTCTCTGACTGCAGGTAGTACTGGGTGACGCGGGTTCGAATCTCAGAAGGGACATGAGTTCCTTCAAGGTTGCAGATACGCCTTGCTGACTAGTGAGTGCCAACTGGCGCGAAACCTAGGTCAGGCGGGACTTCCTGCAGATGATTGCCTCCAACCATCTAATATCATCAAATCAATGTGCACCGTGTTGGTGAGCTACCTAGTGGAATGGTGGCCACATTGCAAACCTGACTGACAGAATTCAGTCTGCACCAGGAGACTAGACACATCCACCAATCAAAGTAATTTCAGATTCGCTGTAACATGCATTACGCGTAGGTGTCTTATAAAGATAAGACACCAATTGTGATCTTAACTCACATTGACAGATCAATTGCAGTACATCAACACTTCTCAAACAATTTGAAGAGTTTTCAAGAGTTTAGTTTATAGTGATCTGGTTGTGTTTCAAGTTTTGACCACAGACTGATAGCACTTAAAGAACCATTGAGCAGCTGTCAATTACTCCCTGGTTGTCACTCGGATCCTCTAACTGATAACAATCTGTGGGTAAAACTTGAAACAAATCTGAAG